CCACATATTAGCATATCTCAGATATATATACTCCATAAATCTATTCAATAGCAAATTCTATACTGCTTAAGGAAGAGATTAAAAATCATCATCTATCATATTGTTCGTTTTTTGGCAGTGTTCACCCAATGTACCTCTATCTGTATTCGTATCTGTATCTGTGACAGCATTGGCAACTGGCTTTTTCAAGGCCAGTTGGGTTTTTGTGGTCGTTAAACTCTCTCCTGCTTTCGTTGAGGTTCCTTTGTTCACTTTCACGAAAAGAACTCAACGACCTCAAAATGCGCAATAAATTTTAGCTGCCTGCACTTTGGCTAAAAACAAAAATAACAAAAAATATAAGCTCCAGCTCTTGTTTGGCTAATTAAGAAAATGTTAGCTGAAGCAGGGGAAAAAAATAAGTCAGAAATCAAAAGAACAGTCAGGAATGGGCAGAAACAAATGTTAATGAGTGCAGTCACTTTGAATGATTGCAAAAAAGGCAAACGAAAAAGGGGGAAATGTTTTGGTTTCTTGCCTTTTTTTAAAACTAGAGAAATGACGACAATGGAGGCACAAGTACTCGAAAGCAAAGCAAAATGCTAACAAGATCAAGGCACTCTCCAAACAATAACCACAAATCGTACACATAGATATATAAATATTCATATATAGAAATATATATATATAGTATGACTTTATCAGGTGTATTGGTTGAGCAGGCAGTTGGCGATAAGCGTCACGTCTTAATCACATGAATGGATATATTATTCACTCTCAAGACCTGGAGACTTTCCTCTTCCCACTGCCGCCATATCATGTCGGACATGTTCCAGTAGATATATATTTATTTGCTTGTTGTCGTCTGATAGTCTCGAACAAAGAAAAGCTCTCTACGGCAAAAGGTAATCGCATAACGTCAGTGTCCCGTGAGAAAGTGCAATTATTTCTTATCAACAGACATATAGAAGTTCAGGTATACCGATTTGTTTATATAAAAAACAAAAGCCTCAAGGGTGTTGAGTAATTGAAGTAATAGAAAAATAAATGGAAAAGATAGAAGAGAGGTATGATTACCTATTGATTTCATCATGGAACTATTTTAATTATAAATTCCTTTACAAAGTATAAATAATACTTCTTAATCCTTAGTCGGCATAAATTATATATTTTATCAAAAATGACACCCTAATTAGGCACCTTGATTAAGTAAACATTCAGGCAAACATTTTTTGCTCAGCCAGGAAAATCCCAGAAGTCAACGCCTTGAGTTGGCACCTTTGGTTAATTACTAAGAAATTACCATTTAATTAACCGCATAAATTGAAATAATTTTCTCCCTCCCCCTAAAGTCAACGTTTGCTGCTCGTTAGCCTGAAGCCCACTAAAGTAATGATTTCTTACAAACAAAAAAAAAGGGAAGGAAATCCAGTGGGCCATAAAAGTTAATGGGGGAAAAAGCCACGTGGCAGCAGAAATAAAAACGCGAAAAAATAACCAAATTAATTGCATGCTTCGTGCTAAATTCTTTCATTGAAGCAACGGACTCTGACTCGAAAAAAAAAAAAAGGGAACATTAAATGCAGTCAACTGGTCAGCCGGAATACACGCCATATAATTATACGATCGTCCATATACATTTAATGCATATACATGTTTGCCTTTATACTATATAGTATTAAATTAAAGGAAAAATAAAAACAGAAGCCTTGCATGACATGAAGGCATTTCCAATGCAATATTTCTAATGAAAACGCTGCTAACGAAATATGTATTCAGGCCAAGTCCTTGCGGCTCATTTAACAACTCTTTCCACTTTCCTCTGTATCATTTTTTTTGTTAATTATTTTCTGTGTACTTGGCAGAAAAAACGAAATGCCAGGATGAGGTCAACGACTACATTAACACACACGGGTCGTATACGTGTTATTTCTCTTATATATATACATATAAGTAGTGTATATATATTCAAATTAAATTGTGCATGTCTGGCACATGACTAAAGCTCATTTCAAAAGGTCCTGGGAGGACAATAAATTGCTTTGGGAGGCTACAAAGCTGTTGAGTGTGTGCGGATTTACTAAGAGAGCTGTCACTCCCTTTCTGACATCTTCATTGTCATCAAGTGGGGCCACACTGCGTATGTGTAATGTGATGTGATGTGATGTTGAGGAGCTTCAAAGGAATCCCAGCTAAAATCTTTTATTTGTTAATTAATTGGTACCGATTTTGTTTGCCACACAATTTGCATTTTTCTATATAAATATTTTATAGCCATGACTTGGCATTTATTTATCAAAAGTGTTTACTTAAAGTTCCTTTTTTTCTTCTTACTTTTGCCCCCAAAAAAAGTAGCTTTTTATCAGCAAAAAGTCAATAACTGATTGTGGCAATGGAGAGAGAGAATAAAGAAAAAGTAAAAATAAATGGAATAAATTTAGTTCTTATAAATAGACCAGAGACTAGAATTATATTTTGTTTACGTGTCAGCTGGAACGTTTGCTGAGCTCTCTCTTTCTTAATATATTAAGGTTTTTTCTTTGTTTTGGGGTAAACAAAGTCGTACGATGGATGGATGCGTCAGCACACACAATTTGGCTAATCACATACCCAAAGTACACCTTGATAATGACAATTATGAAAGTAACACCGCTGCTCAAGGTGGGCGTACGGACGGTCGACCTGTGTGTCACGCTTAATTCAGGTGAAAAATCCCCACCTACACGCAGAGTTAATACCTCAAGACTTTGATGCATTATATCCCCCTTTGGGTGAAAGTGAGAAAAAATACCTTGATTCACCTGAGAGGAAATATATGTGTATATCTCGCGGGTAGCAAAGAATATATATATCTAAATGGTGTGTTCCTGTGTGTGCCAAGGGTAAACAGTGAAATATAAAGGTGGAAAATCACCAGAAACTGAAACAAATATTGATTGGTAAACACAAAAGCAAAATAAGTGCAATTATGGTGACCACACACACACAGAGACAGAGTCAATTAAATGGAAATGCTGATAAAACAAATACTATGATCACAAATGGGTTTTCTATCGATACTATATTCTGCTCTGAATTTATTAGCTGAAAATACTGGAGAAAAATGAGGTCATAATTAGGAAAGCCAAACAATAGATTTGGATACAATAAATAGCTTTAAATCAATCTGCAATAGTAATTAATATTACATAACCTTTGGTACTTTTCCTATCATAAACAATAAAATTATTTATATAACAGCACACATTGCCTTTAAAAATACAATTCTAAATATATACTATAACTATGAATCAGAAAAAATTTCTATGATATTAATGTGTCTGCACACTTTTTAAATAATCTACAAATAGTTTGTTAAGCCCGAAAGCCATTCAAAAATTGTCTATTAATTGCCAGAAAACAATCTTTTTCGATCTTCAATCTGGTTAATTTTAGCTTTCTTGTTGGCCTTCCATTCCCTGTTTCCACCTAATTCTGTCCATCATTATTGTTTTGCTTAAATAGTCTCACCATCACAAAAGTTAACAAAAAGAAAAACTCTTAAAGTCAAGTGTTTCCCGTCTGATGCCTTCTGTCTTTTGTTAATTTTTTTGCTGCCACTCGAAGCATTTTGTTTGATGGATTTCTAAGTGCGTAAATCGCTGTGATTTTTTCTTGGTTCTTAGCTAAAAAAAAACTACGAACAACTTTGTCTTTGAGGAAAATGTTAAAATGATTAATTAGCCTTTCTTGGTGGCTATTCTTTGTTTCAATATTTTGTGCCAAGTATTACGTGTGTGCGTGTGCTCTCTAAGTGAAAAGGGAAAATCCTCTTGAGCTCAAGTGACTGACTCAGCGCCTCAATAATTCATAAAAAAAAGGAAGAGATTTCACGGAAAATATATTGCTACCGGGTAGCAGAGACAGCGCGTGCCACTTTTCACGTATCTATCAGATACAATTTGACGCTCTTCGTCTTTTGTATCTCTCGCCCTGTGTCAAGGTTTATTTACTTTGAATTTTGCTCTATAAATATTTGATAATTGGGTCCTTGGCCCGCCTGTGACTGGTGACTGGTTCTAGTGCCATTGCCATTTGCCACTGAACACACACAATTAGAGTAACAAGTTGACATTCGATGGATGGAGGTGGCCCGAGGAAGTTGAAGTAAATAACTTAAATACGCATACGCCGCATGGGTTCACTGGGGTTCCTTGTGGGCGTATCGCAGGACTTGTTGCTCCTTCGCCTGACGTCAGCAAATAAGAGTCAATCGAGCTTTGCCATTTCATCGGCCCTGCCCTATATTGATTTTTCAATCCCATTGCAGTCTAATAGAAAAAGGATTGCTGTCATAGGATTGAAGCAAAAAAAGTGAGAGGAAATATAGGAGGTTAAACTTCCAACTACTGAAAGTGACAGATTTCTAGAGTATTTAGATGGGAGTATTACAGAAATCTCTAGCGATTTTATAGAGATTTTAAAGCCTTAAGTCATTAAAAGTAGGGGTTTTACAGACCTTAAAGTCATTCAAAATAAGCTACAATATTTTTCATAGTACATAAATAAAATTTATAATAACAAAAAATAGATACACTGAATTTGGTACCTGATAAAGGGTTGCAAATTTGTATATATATTTAGAATGATTTTAAAAAATGTATTTCATATTTTTACATACATTTGAAGGTGTTTTAACAATGTATTGCTCATTCTTAGATGCAATTTGAGAGGTTTTTAAAATGTTTTGAATATTTTATACATTTTTAAGGGTTTTTAAAAAGGCTTTGATATTCTTAGAATCACTTTGAAGATTAAAAACCACTAGTGATTTCTAAGACCCTAGATAAATATTTTTAAAGAAAGTATTTAAAGGATGAGTTATGCTAAATATTTATAAACTAATAACTCAGCTTCAGGATAGTCCTATTCGTAATTCCTTAAAAACTATCTCAATTTCTTAACCATTTTCTCTATCGCCAAGAAAGTAATCCCAGTAGGAATTCCCCTTAAATAATTTATAATTCTTAAATACAACTCACCTTTCTCCAAGCTGGCATTGCAGAACTTGAGGGCATCATCCAATAGGTTGAGATGCATGCAACTGCTGGCTTTTTCGCTAATTTTCTTGGCCTGCAAATCCGGACCCCACCATTTCTCCACCAATCTTCGCACCAATACATCCGGCATGAATTTCATGGCAGATGAACCACCATTATGGCCAGAAGTATAACCACTTAGTCCCAGTGCCGCTGCTGCCGAAGTGGATGCCATGGTGGTGGTGGCCGTGGCCGTGGTAGATGCCACCGTGGTGGTGGTCACCGTCATGGGTGGTGCCGCCAATCGGTGGACACTGGATGCCAGCTGGACGCCATAACCCACGGGGAAGCTCATCAGTCCGAGGTTTGCATTATTGTGGCTCGTTGGTGCCGCAAAGAAGCTGGACTGTACCGCCGGACCGCTCGATGTGGTTGTGGTGGTGGTCAGGGCGCAGGGCGGTGAAGTGTCCTGCATTCGGGGAAATCGCACCTGACAGATGTTGCACTGTGTGATCGTCTCACAGCATTGCCGGCAGAAAGTGTGACCACAATTGGTGGTCACCGGACAGCGCAGGATATCATTGCACAGTGGGCACAGCAGGGGATCATAATCCTCGGGATCCTGCAGGGGACTCGGTACTCTTAGTTCTCGCGTGGGGGAGTGTAGATCCAAGGGAGATGCTCCACCAAATGATCATTAGGGGATTCCCTTCCTCCAGGCAGGAACTCTGATCCTTGATTTAACTTGTCCTGATGATGGTATCGTGACCAGTTTATCATCTCCAACCGAGGACTCTTCATGGTTGTGGTACTGGGATTACCTGTATTTGTGGCTATGCCTCCCATTTGCCGAATGTGTGAGGTCAGGGCGCTAGCAGGATATTAAGCTTATCCAAAGGAACATGACCATCACATTGCCGGCTGGCTATCAGTTCGTAGACATCAAAGGCCTTTGGGAGGCTGCCAATCTTGGCAAAGGATTCACCCACCAAATAGGACAAGTGCAAAGAGCTTTGACTGTCATCGTCGTTAGCTAGGTAACACTGTACTCCGACATTGTGTGACTGTTGATGATGATGGTGATGATGATGGCGATGCTCCTGGTCATGTTGCTCCTTGCGAAGGACCTTCAGCACACGCTTCTTGGCGCCCAGCGAGGAGGGCTTCACGCAGTAGCCCTGCGACAGCGGCATCTCCCTCTAACTATCTATCTATAGTTGTTGATTTTTTGTTTTTGTTTTTTGGTTTTGGTTTTATTTCGATTTATCGGAGGGTTGAGCTGCCTGCAGTCACGTATGCAACACGTAGCGCGGCTCGTCAAAGATATATTCTATCTTTCAGTTGGCATATAATATCTATCTATCATCACTTCACTTCACTCTCTCGCACTTTACGTACTCTTCTTTCATTTATAACAATTATTTTGAACGGGCGTGCTCTGCTTTTCACGGTTTTGCTTGAAATGAAGAAGAAGTTTTGACAACGGCAGAGGCATTGGCATCTGAAAAGAAATGAAAACAAAAGAGAACATTGGGTATTAGTATGATTTTGATTCCGATTTCGATTCCGGGAGAAGAGAGAGAGGGAGAGAGAGAGAAACACACACACAGAGAGAGATAGAGAGCAAGAGAGAGTGGTGGGGATATATGGGGAGAATGTGAAGTAAGCGGAACAAGAAGAAGATAGCCACTGGCGGGATTTACGTAACGCTAAAACAAAAAACAACAAATAACAACTAAAAGAAATACAAAAAACAAAATAGAAATAAAAGCAAAAAGGCAGGCCAAGAAAATGAATTAAAACTGACTGATTCTCAGAGGCAGCTTTTGATTCTGTTTTATAATTCCAACAACACACTGAGAGAGATATAAAGAGAGTGCCCCTCTCTCTCTCATTCTCTTTGATTGCTGCTTGCCGGAGAAGAGGAAGAACTGTATCTATTACTTAACCACTGGAGAATGTCAGATACACGAGTGTATATATATATCATAAACGAATTGCACTTCTCGCACAACCAAAGGCCCCCCCCCAAAAAGGCGATGACGTGACTTTTGTCACCTTAGCACAAAGCTAATTGCTTGCTACACCTAGAACCTATTATATAAAAGCGAAAAAGCAAAAAGTGTGGAAAATGCGGAGCGGGTTCATTGAACTTTGTGCCTCTGAAAGATAAAATTACCTGAATGCCTGGTTAATTACAGTTTAATAAGCTTTAATTGTGAGCATTAGAAGGTATTCTCAGCTAAACGCTATGTGTGGCACATGCTATTACATAATATTATGAAAATTAACACTGAATCACATAGACGCTGCTTTGCTGCTGGCCCCAAGTAACACGAAATCAAAATCATCAACGACACACACAGATACTTTCAAACACACACACACAGTCAAGAAACTCGCTCTTTGAGCGGCTTGGCTTTGGCTCTCTTAGGTTCTCTTAGAACTCTTTGCTTCTAGCGGGTTCTGCTTGTATCTGTGTTTGAGTTCAAAAACAATTTCGAGTGTGCTTGTGTGTGTGTGTGTGTGTTTTGTTTTTGTTTTTATTTCCTTTTCTCCGATTGTGATTGTGCGCACGTTTTGCTTTTGACGTCGTTCGTTGTATCTTTAAGATAAACAATGTGCCGGCATAACATAACCGCCACAAACACAAACACAGATACAGATACAGATACAGATACAGATACAAAGATACTTTTGCCTTCTGCCTTCTCTTCGCATTCTGGTTTCTTTTTTTTTTTTTTTTGTTATGTAAACAATTTTGTGCTTGTCGTCCGCCCGGCATCAAGATCTTTATAGTTTTCCTTTCTTACCATAATTTTTTGTTTACATTTCCAAAGGCAATTAAAGTGTGCCAAAATCACATACAAAAAAAAAGAGTTCGAAACAAAAGCAAACAAAACAAAATTAGTTTAAAAATTGCGTGCAAATGAATTTTTTCATTTCATTATTTCATTTATGCTGCCTGTGGCTGTGTGGGTTATAAACTCACACACACAGATACACACACATGGCCACGCATATTTATATCGGCTATGAGTGTCTCTTTTTTTTGCATAAATCTCGTTGTTAAGTAATGCTGAAATATCTTATAAGTTGGTAGTTAGCCAAGAAAATGAATTTTATCAAGGGTGTGTGTTATGTGTGGGGGCCACGACACAATCATCCGCAGATATACGATATTACGTGAAAAACTTGCGATCGAGACGGCGACCCAAAAAGTATATCAAAAAAATACAAATTTTATATATTTGGAATAGAATTTCGGTATGCTCTGCCAGGTTACATAAGATCCGGGCGAAGTTTGTGAGTGAAATTTTAAATTAAATACATTTTTGGGATATTAAAATGATTTAAATGATAAAATAATAGGAGCCATATTGGGGATCATTTACAGAATATTCAATTTGATTTGATTTATATTTTAGACATCTCTTCAATTCTAAGATTTATTTTGTAAAATTATTTTCTTTAAAGGAGGACAATTTACTTTTAAAATGTGGTGGTTGTATTTAAATTAAATAATAAAATAAATTAAAAACGACCATTTTAGGGATGTAAAATTGTCCAATTACAGTTTTTAAATATAATTCAAGACAATAAATTTAATAAAATATTTAAAATATAAATGTGCATTTATTAAAACATTTCACTTTTAAAACTAAAAATCTTTGACTTAAAGCAAATTAAAAATCATCGGTATATCAATCTTATTTAGAATTGTATTAATTCTATTTACTTAATAAACATTTTGTACTAAATATCTTTGAACAAATACGTATATTTATTTCAATTTCAAAGGTCAGTTCTATTGAGAATTTTAAGTTTGTTATTTCCTTTAAAAACATGAACTGATAACGTAATATAAATTCTAGGGAAACCTCATTTAAAGTCTACATCAGATAAGAATAGGTTTTCTAAAAGATTTCTTAATAGTTCTATGTTAAATAGTTATACTTAATAACATAAATCTTTAAATACATGAGGGTTTTTCAGACTTAGATATATGGTAACCAATTGTGATACATCTTTAATACTATTTCCCAAAATACTATTGGAATAGTATGTATAATAAAAATCCTCTTATACTGTGTTACAAATTAAACTACTACTAGTTATAATGTAATACATTTTTATTGCCTCAAGTTTATTTATAAACTTCCTCAAAATTTCCCTTTCAAAAACCCTGTAACTAAACTCGACCTTCATGCACTTGAGAAACCCCACTTTTAGATTATTTAATACAGAACTTTGCCCAAGCTCTGACTAGTCTCTGAAACCGTAGAAATAATTTATACCAATAGATAGAACGAGATATATATAAATAGACATGTAAAGATAGTGTTCGAGGCAATAACTGTTGGCATTGTGAAACATTTTGTTGTGGGGGGAAAAAGTTGGTAAACAAGGTTTTCCTGCCACTCGATTCTAATTGTTCCTACCGACTTGCTTTTTGCGTAAGCCAAAAATGATGTGCTCTACACCTCATATAAGTGAGTGCACACTGCAATCGTGGGTATATTTGTGTATATTCAAGGGGATTGCATAACCCGAAGCCGATAAACGTAAGCGTTCCTAAATGAAGTGCAAATATGTCGGGGGAGGGGAGCATTTTGCCTGGAAACACGCCCGTTAGGGCATAAGCTCGTAGATTGCCTTAGATTTTACCATATTGCCATTATGCAATGTCAATCATATAGCTTTATCGCCGTCCATCGTCAGTCAGACAAAATGGCAACGCGGTGACAGCACTATATATGATAGTCGTAACAATCACTCGTTGTTGGTGTTCTAAAGTCCCCTGAATGTGTAGCTATTGTTTGTTTTTAAATCCAATAAGTGATACTAGGAAAAGGCGTTGATTAAAGTTGATAGAAAAAGAGTAGTATAAACTATGTATAGTCATTGAGGAAATAGCGGAAAAAGTAGTATAAACTATGTCTTGGTTTTAATGAAAATGATCTACAATTAATTCTGCACTAATCTGCTTAATTATATATGTAAATATATTATTTCCAGTGACATCTGTTCTCCATTAATTACTATTCGATTGGGTAAGAAAAACGTTTTCCCCAGAGCTTTTTAAATTCAGAGTGTGACATAAACCCAAAATTTAGAAATTTAAAGTATAGCAAGACAAAGAATAATGATGAAATAATAGAATATTAGTCACTGCTTAGTCATTTCATGTAACAAATAGATTGCATGATGAAACTGATTGTAATTATAAAATTCATCTTGATAAAGATTTCAAATAAGCAACTATAATTACTATATTATATTTGTTTAGTTTGTAAAGTCCAGGTTACTATTATTATTCTTGATTTGATTTGATTGGTGTTCATATCTTTATTATTCCCCATAAACTTTAGATTTCAATCACTCAAATTGGGTTCTATCAGCATTTTATCGATCACATAAGCGATTTATGTTGCATAACAACATAACGACACAAGAAACTGATTATGCTTGGAGGGTAATTTCCCTCGTAATTATGAAACCATACACAGGCAGTTATGAAATCATATACATTTTCATTGGCATTTTGTATATTTTGATTTCTGCTTTGATATTTGTTTTATTGGTTTCCCATTTGTTGTTAGCGTTTGTTTTATGACATTGTATAAGGACGGACCCGGGGACAGACGATAAACACTCGTAAAAATAGCTCGAAAAACCAACAAATAGAGAGAAAAAAAATATTTAACAATAACAAAAGACCAGAGAGGTTGAAGAATTTATTGAGGCAAGCCAATTAGCAACAAAATTTCTAGTTTGTGACTTTTCAGCATTCAGTTTTGATTTCACTCGGATTATACAAGAACCTCACTCATTCGCTGACTAATTGGCGGGTCCCTTTTCCGACTTACATAATAAAATAGTGTGCCATAGTTTTCCCCGCTGCTGTTTGCATAATAACCAACGATCTGGCTTTAAGTCTGGTTTCCTCAGCTCATTCGTCTCTGACTCATGACGTACCTTTATGTACGATGACGTATGCAAATAGGTTTTTCCTCTTTTCGAGTTGGCTATAATTTTTTTTCTTTACTTTTTTCGGGCCAAGTGAGCGACTAACCAAAGCGTTTGTTGTTCATTGGCAGCCAACGTCGCGTAATACTCGCACACGTACTACAGTGCGTGTCGTAACGTTAAACGTCTTAGTCCAGTCGGAGTGGTAGAGGGTGTAAGAGATAGAGATGGAGAGGGAGAGAGAGAAACTCGCTTTTGGAAGCTGGCAAATAATGGGTGCTGACCCCAGACAAATTGGAGGAGTTGAGCTTTTTGCCAGATTATCGCAGATTGGCAACAAACTTATGTGGGGTTTAAGATACAGTAAACATTTAAAAGAAATAGTTCAATGGGTTTATCTGAAGCTTAAATAACTAAAAATAGGTGGGTGGATTTATAATTGAAGTAAGCTAGGTTTAGTAGTTTTTTCGAAATAAATAATATTTATATGATCTTAAATTTTCATTTTAGGGGCTTCATTTAGTTAGAACGCCTAGAAAATTACGGGTTTCAACATATTTCTCTGACAAAACCTATACATGCACCTTTTTAACATTTAGCGCACATTTTATTGTATTCTGAAGAGTTTAAGAAAATTGTAACTTAAAAAACCCCTTTCAAAATAGATGATAGACTCAAAATTTTCAGTCTTTAGTTAAACTCAACTAAATTACAAAATTAAAATTAAAATGATATTAATTGAATAACATTTTTAACTAGATGCAAATAATTCCAGCTCGACATTTATCTTTCTAAATTAAATTGTATATTGCACCAAGTAAAATAATTGACAAATACAATCATTTTTCCCTTATTAGTTTCTTTAAGTTCAAGTTAGTCTATTTACACAATTCAGTTGCATAGAACTAGAACTAGAAAAGTCGTATGTAAATAAATTCTGTAAACAATTCTTTGCATCTTAGATTACCAAAACAAAATATACATTCCTGGGCTAATTCCCTTGTATATCTGCTTTGTGTCGGTTTCCATAAAATCTATTTTCCTAAAGGGTGTCACATTTGGCTATCGATTTCCGATTTTGATATGCAATGCTCATCAATACTCTATACGAACTTAAAATAGGAAAGGAAACTATGATAACTTAGGAAAGAGGAAGTTTTTATACTCTTGCAGTTTGCAATTGAATTTATAAGATCGATATTGGAAATCTACCAAAAAACAGCTTCAAATATAAATAACTAAGTCAAAAAAGCATTAACTTTAATTCGGAAAGCTTTCCTATGTTAGTTTTTATTAAGTTAATAAATCTGCATACTCAATTTAACATGTTAAAAATTAAAATATTAATAAATAAGTGAAAATTTTAACGATTTCAACCCCTTATCTATTTTTGAAATTTGGAAATAATTTTCTAAGATTTATTTTTTTACCGAAGATGGCTAGATCGATTCGGTTGTTGATGCTTATGAATATATGTATATGATTTATAGGGTCGGAAATAATTCCTTCATAATTTTACAATCTTCTAACTAATATTATAAGGGTTAAAAAAGTAAAATTTAAGTAATTTTTAATGATAGAAACCTATTAAATTAATAAATTTTTAAGAACAATTAAAGGGTTCTGTGAAGCCAAAGCCAGAAATTTAAATACAATAAGATATAATTCTCTGAAGAAGAAATTCATATTTCCAAATATTATTACTCACTAAGAGTTTTCCCCGAAATGCTGTTTTCTAAGCCATATAGCTTCTTTTACCTTCGGTTATCAATGCTAATTTATCATGAAATCGTTATAAATATATTATATGTTATTTGTGTTTTTCCATGGTAGCTTTTATCACAGATTAAATATATATATAATGTACATATATAAAATGATTATCGAGTGCAGGCCGAATTCAATTGGCCACAGCAGAACGTCAACAAACGGCGCAAAAAAGCGCTTAGTAATGCCTTTAAAAATATGGCAACACGTAAGAGGCGGCAGTCCCCTCCCCTCCCTCGCTTAACCCCCATTGCAGCTGCAGTTTCTGTGTTTTCACAATCAGCAGATAGCAAATGAAAAACAGTTTTTCGCCCCAACAAAAGAGCGCCAAAATCAAAACTAAGAGAAAGAGAGGGACGTTCGACTTGAATGTATCTTTGAGATACAAAATGAAATGCAACTTTGTTGAGCTCTCCGTTACGTTTTGGCGTTCATTCACACACTGAGAAAAAGCATGTGGCCCCCGTGTCGATGTCGTAACCCTAAGAGAGTGAGAGAGTGGGTCGAAGAGAGAGTGTAATTCTCTTTCGCCTTACCTGTCGCTGTTGGACCGCGCCTCCTTGTGTTTTTTAGCCCAAAAAAGGGGGTGGCGGGGTTAGCTTGCTCTGTTGCTCTCGAGAATCACACACACACACACATGCACACGCGAAATTCTCCCTCTTCTTCTTGCAATTTCTATTAATTTTTATTTTTTATTATATTTTTTTTTCTTTTTATTTTGTTTGCCAAAAAAATAGATATTTATTGCCACACGCGTGCGAAAAAGAACGCGAATTCGGGAATATATTTTCCTGCCCCGCTTATTTTATTTATTTTGTATTTTTTTTTTTTTGCCTCGCACTTGTATATACGTGTATTTGTGTATTTGTATACGTATTTGTTGTTATTTTTGTGTTGGGCGTGCGCGTAACTTTTCTCGTGTTATGTGTTGTATTTTTTGTTATTCGCTTTTTTTTTGTTTTGTAAGAACTTGGAACGGCTTTACGTAACCCCGCCGCACACACGGGTTAAATTTTTTGCTATAATTTTTTTTGCCCCCGTTGAAGAGAGAGAGGGGTGTGCGGCACCCTTAATGGGCGTTAGGTATTAGTAATCCCTGCCAATTTATTTACTATTTACACTGGGGGAAAACACGCACTAAACGACACTAGTATTTGTATTTGTATTTGTATTATTATTTATTTTTTTTTTTGATTACGTTGGCGTTTGTTTTGTAATACGCTTACGTTACGCGACGGCAAAAGAGAGACCACGGACACGACGGCGACGGCAAACAACGTGTTTCTAGTGGCTTGAAGCAATAATTATTGCTCTAATTTCTTGTTATTTGATTATTAACTAAACTTTAGTTATTTTTTGTAATTTTAATTTAATTTTCTTTTGTGCCTTTTGGCATTTTTGTTTGATTTTATTTGTCTCGGCCTGGGCTTTAAACGTCTCTCGGCTGTCTCAACTTGCCAGGGCCGATGTTCAACAGTGAATGAATGTGCTCCAACAAGCAGCACGCCGTCAGAGCGAACCAACAGCAATGCCTCTCTTTCGGGTTGCCCCCCACAAAGAGAGTTTCAAGCACTTGAATATTATGTCACTGGTGGGGATGTTGCCGCTCTTAGGTCTCTGTTGCGTCATCAATTGCTTGAGTCCCGTGTTCTCTTCGGCGGCGTTTCTCTCTCTCTTCTCAGGAAAAATTTTGCCGGCAAAACGTCAACTGTCAAAACAGGCGACGCCAAACTAAAGTGATGGTGATGAGAGGGTCAAAGAGAGAGGGAGAGAGTGTGTGTGTGTGGTGTTGGGGGAAGACCTAAGGGAGAGGGTGGGGTGGGGGTGGGGTGCTAGTTTGCTAGTGGGCGTCATTTATCGTATGATGCGCATTTCCGGCGCCACTCAACACAGACAACAGGCCGCATATAGGCAGGCAGGCAGCAACATCAATAATAACAACAATTACAGTTGATCTTCAGTAACATGAACTTTTGTTGATCAGCTTAGAGGGTTCCTTTAAACTATAATTAAAAATTTTTAATGATTTTTAGACTCGTAAATATGTTGTAAGGGAATAAATTGTATACAAGAAATGGGTAATTCTTGTAAGAGATTTATTTACAAGAGATAATTATAATATTTTCGTTGAATAAAGAAGCTACACATTTTTAGACCATTTAAAAATAAATAATACCCGGGTTTAATTCTAATATTAATTTGATAATATTAGTAATTATATTACAATACATTATATGTTTAATATTATATTGAAATATAATTACTAATATTATCAAATGAATATACTAATTATATATTATTATATTGAAATATAATTACTAATATATCAAATTCAAATCAGGTTTTTAATTATTTACATATTATATTATTATATTGAATAATTTATATATTAAAACCATTTAATATTAATAACTTCACTTTCCTCTGCTAAAAAAAGGTTTACAAAATGGTTTCCAACTTCTTAGTAAAATATAGAAATTTTAGAATTTATCCAGAAATAATTTAAATTTGACGATTTAACTAATTAAATTGCTTAATCATGTATCTGCACTATTAACTAATATAGTTCCAAGTTATAGATGTTCATCTGTAATCGAATTTCTGCTCGTTTCATAAGAGTCGCCCGTCTCTTACATTTGGTTTTGTCATTTAACGCAAATTACGTATACGACGCGTTGACCTCATTTGGGGCGATCAACAAATGCAGTTGCCGACAAGCTTGGCTTAAAGCAAACCCCTCAGTTCTCTCTTTCTACCTCTCTATCTCCCTCTCTTTCTCCTTCACTTCCTCTCTCTCTTTCCCTCTATTTTTTGGTTTCGCTTGGCTCGCATTTCAAGCTCAAGTTCAACGTTGTCTGTTAGCCAATGCCTGGCTGCATATTACCAGTTTTCATGCCATCGTCGGTGGCTTGGCATTAACATTTTGAGTGTCGGCCGGGTTGTTGTTAACTCTTTATACGCTTTCGTAAGCCTTGGGGCCGTAACAATTCATACATACATACATATGTATATGCGAGGGACCCGCATATGTTTGAGCATTGCTCGCATTTATTGCAACATTTCCCCATAGGGAAGTAATCGAAATGGTTCGCCTCGAGTCTGGGTCTGGTTTAAAGTGCAGAGAGAGAAAAATCTACCTACTTAATATAAGAATATGAGAGCTCGTATTTAGGCTATATATCAAATTTTATGAATATGTGTGGAAAATTGTAAATGTTATAAGTTTTTTTCTTAAAATATTCCGATTGTTCAAAGTTAGTAACTGATCATTCATACATACTGGTTATAGATACTTACTGATCATTGTTGCTTGCTGGTCATAGATATTTACTGTTTAGAGTTACTTGCTGTCCATAGATACTTACTGTTCAGAGTTACTCACTGTTCAGAGTTACTCACTGCTCATAGTTACTTAATGATCATGATTCTTTAAATCGTCCGATTGTTCCTATGGCAGTTATATATATGCATATATATGCCATACTCCGACTTCTATACCAGTAAAATTATATAGAAGAATAACTCCATAGTTTCTTTAAAATAGCTAAAAATGTGTTCCAAAACAAATCTCGCAGATCTGTGCATATGATTCTCAAGTGGTTCTAACATCCCCGGAACGAAGTGACTGCTGCCAGACAAGTCTCAGAAATGTGTTGTGTTACAAAAGTTGCAAGTCATTGTTTACTAGTGTTCAAAGTTAGTAACTGATCATACATACTATCTGGTCATAGATACTTACTGTTCAGAGTTACTCACTGCTCTTAGTTACTTAATTAAATAGCTCGCTGTTTCTCTCTGCCTCTCCCCATCTCTCTCCATGCCTATTGCTCTATGTTAATCTCTAGAAGCATCTGCTTCTCTCCCACGCACTCTCACTCACATTCTCTTCTCTGCTCCACTCTCTCCTCGGGAACTATAAATAGAGGCGCTGAGGTCGCGCGCGCATCAGTCTGTCCTAGGGGTACCTAGTGTTAACATCGATAGTGATAGTGCAAGTGATCACCCTTCGAGACCGAAAATATGACGTGGCCAATGCAATGGATCTGGATGACCAGGAAGAAGCTCACTTGGATGAAGTCACCCAATCTTGGTCACTACACTGGAAGGAAGTAAGCAAAGACGAAAGAGCCACGTGTCCTCTACTGCGGTAAGTCTTAGCCATGACTTGTATATTATTATATTATTATATTATAATATTATATTCCAATTAATTTGCTTATTGCCATGTTACTCACTGCTTACCTTTACATACTTACTGTTCATAGATTTTTACTGTTCAGAGTTACTTATTGATTACTTATTGATCATAGTTACTTACTGGTTATAGATAGTTACTGATCATAGTTACTTACTGATTATAGTTAATTACTGATCATAGTTACTTAATGTTCATTGATATTTAATGTTTATTGATACTTATTGATCATAGTTAATTACTGATCATACATAGTAGCTTTGCAAAATTTCTGACTGAAATTATAATGCTCTGCAAGGGTTTAATAATAACTGAAACTCAGTAATTTCTTTCTGTGCACAAGTTATGTAGCTCCCATTTTTCAGGTAGTTGGCACTGTTTTGTTGCTGTTAATCAACGGAAATTAGCTGCGAGTTTCATGTTTGAAATGTTTATTTTGTAAGTCATATATGAGGAAATTAGTTTTAAAGCTTTGCTTGATTTTTTTTCATTGGTTGGTTATGTTTTTTGCATAATATTCGACGGATTTTGATTTTGGGTGTGTAAAAGCTGGCAAACAAATCAAGTTGTTTCCGATCGCTTCTGTCATTGACTTGGTAATGAATGTGAATTGAAGTCAGCTGGGTGTGGAGATTGATAAATTGATTTTTGTATTTGTAACATAAAATATAAATTGTTTACTGGGAAACTAGAGAAGCCTATTTTGTCTCTCAGTTGATGTAAGTTTAAAATTACTACATCGTTTCTTTTATATTTATGAAGCTTCTATTTTTTGTATAGCATTTTTTTATTCAAGTATTTTTATATTTATAGTCTTATAATTTGATTAAGCATATTTTATTCAATATTGCGGGACTTCCGATGTAATTAATTGCTCAATGTTGTGGTCTGGCAGTTGTTTTACAGCTCTTATCCAGTTCCAGTTTTAACGTCCTCTTTACACTCACCAATTATGCAATCAACTTGACCTCCAGACTCCTAAAAAATGTATATATATATATATTATCCAGCTGCTTTGAAGGCCAACAATTTGCTCTTGCAGAAGCTGCCCCCAAGTAGGCCATAAAATCGTTACCGGAAACTTACCTCAAAAGTATGCAATGCCAAAGAGAAATGAAACAATTTTCACAGTTTATTCTTTTTTTTTGCATTTATCGTTTCAAAATTTGTATCTAAACCTTTATTGTTTGTTCTTTTTTGCAGTTTCTCATAAAACATATTTTTTTTACTCGCCATCATTTTCGCCTTACATTTCTCATCTAAATCTCACTTCTTATCGCTTGAAGTTCCTACGAATTAATTTAGGTTACCTGCTCGAATCAAAGCCCATAACAGAAACATAACCCACTCTCTTAGTAACATTAACAAAATCTACAAAAAACTTAGATTGAATGCCATACGAACTTAAGCTTAAGTAAGTGTAAAGTAATTAACAAATGAGTTTGGTTAATGAATAGAATATAACTAATATCTGCAGCATATCGAGCACTTGTGTTGAATTTGTCGTTTAAGTTACGTTCATTTTGGTTTTGTATATATCTAGGTACATGTTAGTGTCCTTGCTTAGGCTTTCATCGTTAAGTTTTAATTTGAATTTGGTTTTGGTTTTCGTATTTTTTTCACTTGTGTCTTGCATGCTGCCAACAACAATTAGAGGCTGAGTTTTTTTTCGTGGATTTCTTATAGCATTGCTCTAATGCCTTAAGCTGAATTTGTTTTGTTTTCTCTACGTTTTTTTGCTTTTGAGTACCAAATGATGAAGTTTCTTTTGCTTTTCTCTTGAAGCTTTGAGTTTAGCTTGGATCTAGGCCCCGTTTAAGCCTCGACTTAAACTATTGTAGCCTTGTGTTGTCTATGAATTTTACTTTCAGCTTTTCTTGCTTTGTTCATATATAAAATTATTTGCATTTCGTTTCGTTTTGCAAAATTCTCAAAATATAAGTAAAGGCTCTAAAACGCTTTTTAAGTTCTCTTTTAGTTGGGTTTTATTTATTTTTTTGTTTTATTTAATTAATTTAGCTTGATTTTTTGCAACAACTAACAATTTTTTGTGATTTTTTTCCATCATTTTTTTATCTTTACTACATTTAAATATTTTTATTTGAGGATTTTTCTCGGGGGTTTTCTTTTATTGATTTTAAAATTCAACAACATTTTTTGTCTTTAATATTATGTAAGAATATATATATATGTATATATAAGTTATGTATATGTGTATAATATTATGTATATATTTATATAATAGCATTTAATATATTTCGCATTGCCATCGGTTCGCGCCGCCATTTCCGTTTCCGCTCCGCCGCCATTTTGTTTTCAATTCTTACTCACTAAAAACACTCAGCACTCGCTCTGAAGCAACTGTACCGTTGCGACTTTACTTACTTACTTAAGTTATCGCTTTGCTAATTTATCGTTTTTTTCTCTTTCTTTTTGTTTGTTTTCTGCTTTGCACTGCAACAATTTGTGTCTTTAGTTACTATTTTTAACCCTGCCTAACGATCGCCGTCCATTGCCCGCTTGCTATGTAGTTGAGTGTACTATACGTAGGCGTACAACTAATATATATATGTATAAGGTTTATATAAAAATCATCAACTACGAATTTATCTACAAAAGTTACTCGTTACTCATTTGTTGTTGCATGCGAAATTCATTTAACTAATCCTTGTTGTATATAATAAATATATATATATATATATTTATACTTTTAATGTTTATTATTGTATATTAAACATTATTTCGTTAGTTTTCACTTTTGTTTTTTAATTTCTTGCTTATGTTTGACAAAAAATGTTTCATACTTTTCAGTTTTATCGTCTTCTGTTGTTGCTACAAAGTCTACATTTTGTTACGGAACATTCTTATACGAAAATCTTTGCTTTTCTTTGCATTTCCTTGCTTTTCCAACGTAAAAAAGTTTGAATGTGAAAATAAAAGGCATCTACAACAATCTCGTTGCATAAAATATTTGCTTTCTTGCCGTTTTTATGGATTCTTACTGCTGTTTTTTAGCATTTTCTGTGGCTAGCTTTTGGCCTGGTTAATTCGTCGCCTGGAAGTAGGCAACAGAAATCTGCAGTCTCCCCTTCCGGTTGCTGCTGCGCATGCTTTTGTGTGTGTGTGTATCTGAGTGTATGTTAGCCAAAACTAATTGATAAATCTTTGGATTCGTTTTAAAAATGTATTCTGTGTTTTATTCAACAATTCTCTCTACATAAACAAAAAATTGTCTACAAAAATTCAACTACAAACTACGGAAAACAATAAGTTTTAAAAATATACACTTCTACGCTTAACCAACTGTGTGTGTGTGTGTATGTGTATAGTGTGTGTGTGGTGGGTGTGTGTGAAAGGAGGTTCACTGCTCATTCAACAATTAATACCCAGGCCAAGTGTTTAAGCAAAATATCGTATTAATTTGTTTTCACCTCTACGCGCGATCTATGATACTTGTCATATTTCGTCTTAGATATAAATATTTTTATATAAATATAACATGATTTTTGTCTGTTGTACAAATATGTTTTTTTTTTAATTTGTAGCAATTGCTTGAATCTGCTTAGTTTGTATAGTTAATGGGGTTTCAAGTCCGCTATTTTTGAGTTTTTTCAATAAATGTTTACGCTTTATCATTATCGTATATACTTGTGTGTGTGTGAATTTATTCAACAACCGAAGCTCAAAAATTCTCATTTTTATATTTTTGCAAAATGACACCCAACGTATTTTTTTATAGGTTTTTTCTTTGGGGGTTATTTGTAGTGGGTTTATTTTTCTCATCTCTTGTTTAACGTTCTCTCCTGTGGTTGTTTTCTCTAGGTGGTCTCATAGCAGTGCAAAAGGCTCTTGGGGTTAGATTTTGGGGAAAGAAATTACTAACAAAATATGAGGAAAAATTAGAAACGAAAAAGCTTTCCCCACACACAAAAAGGGTGGCTAAATATCTAGGTATATAAATTGCTATATAATGTAAGATTACTTTATAATTTGTGTAGTTCTTGCATCTATCGTTAGGGTTAGTTTCGATTTAGATTTCGATTCGTTTGCGGTTACGGTTACGGTTTATTTTCTTTAACTCTGTCTTGAGATCCTTGTATGGTTTCTTGTTTTATATATTTTGTAGATATTTTACTAACAATGAGCTATGCGGCGATTGGGATTTCGGGTCTTTGCGGGTATGAACTGTGTGGATTTTGTAAAAAGATATATAGAATAAAGATAGATAGATAGATAGATTGATAGATTGGTAGGGAGGGGTGAAAAGAAAACCAAATGTAAACGAGTTTTCAGTATTTAAAAGCAACGCTTAGACTTTTATTATTACACACAAATTGATGTTATTTTTTGTTGTTTGCTTTCTCACGTTTTTGTTACTCTCTTTCTTCTCCTTTGATTTTGTGGTTTGTTTTTGTTTATGTTGATTTTGCACATTTTTTCCATAGAATAAATAAAACTTATTGAAATTTGTTAAGAAGAAGTGCTTAATGAACTTAATTAACTCTCTCTCTATGCTTCCATTTAGCTTCCATTTTTGTTTTTGTTGTTTGCTGTTCGCTGAATATAAAATATATATAAATTTTCGTTTCGGTCTGTAAGTTTTTTGTTTGTTTCATATATTTTGCTTATGTGTCTAGATAATTGTATGCAGGTAAATGTAACTCAAATGTATAACAAATAATAATAATAATAATTAATAAACTTAACTAACGAAAATAGTGTTTTTGTTTAAAGTAACATAATTATTTAATATTATGCAAAAAATGTTTTGTTTTTAGATTGTTTTGTTTTGTTTAAGATCTTGCAAATCACACCAAAAGAAATAGTTTTTCTTGTAATAAAAGGTAAACAAATAAGATGTTTCTTAACAAACTAAAAGGAAAAATGTGAAAAGTAAGTGAGGAAGGGGACAGGGCAGTTTTGTGGGGAGATGAGGGGAAAATGGTTCTTATGCGTGTGTTAGTAAGTAGTAAGAAAAGTAGTTATCTCGCCTTTAACCAGCTGACTATGTCTGGGTTAGTTTTGGGTTGGTTATTTTAGTATCAACAAATCAACAACGAAAACTATTTCATTTCTAGTTTTGCATTTATGTCTGTCTCTCTGTCCGTGTCCGTTTTCCAGTTTTCCATTTTCTTTTTGAATTGTTTTCTCGTTTGTTTATTTTTTTGGGGTTTTTCTGATATATTTTCTCATTTAGGTTTATATAAAAATCATAGCTCACTTAAACTAACCAGCTGCCAAGTGCCCGGCAACTGAGGAGGGAAGTTCTTTGCTCATTTCTAAATGGTTTTCCTTAGCGTTCCTTTAGTTTTTCTCCTCTCTTCTGTTCTCTTATCTTTTTTTTTTGTGGGTTTTCATTTTGCAATTTTTTATACAAGATTTTCTCATGCGTTTTCTTTTTTATGTTAATTCTTCTCTCGATTTAATTTGAAATAAAAGGCAACGAAATTATTTACAATATGATTTGTTGTGTGTTGTTTTCCTTTCACTATTTGCTAAAGCAAAACTTAATCGAAGAACTAATTACAAAGAATAATAATAAAAATTAGATTAATAATAGTAGTAAGTAGAAGAAGAAGTTTCGGGGGAAATAATGGTGAAAAAGTAGAAGGTGTAGGGTTTCTGGCGTAAAACTAGGCTAAACAACTATTAAACAATTTAAAATATAACAATTCTAGGGTCTGGGTTCTCTAAGTGTGTCTGTGTTCTAGGACTCCCATTGCGCTCGGAAAAGTATGCTACGTTTTAAAGGCAAAAAGCTTCGGCTGCTCGCGAGACTTTCTTTTCTATTTTCGTTTTTTGGCTACTCTAAAAAATGTTTAGTTTCTCCTCCTTTTGTGTTTTTAGTTAATTTGCTTTTTAGTTCGGTTTCCGTTTTAGCATAAAATAAATATTTAAGCGGAGCACGACGCCGTGAGGGGTGTAGGTGTGTTTGTTGTGTGTTTTCTTACTAATTATATTATATTTTCACATATATATATTTAGATATATATATATATATAGATAGATTTATAGTGTAGGTTTTCATGTCTGCATTACTAAACATTATTAGTAGTTTTATCATAATTATGATTATTGTTATTTTTGCTTTATCAATAATTATTATTATTTAATTGTTGTGGTGTCCTCAGGCCAAGTCACAAAATTGTATTTATCATTACACATCTTGGAATTTCGATAGACGTGCACGCAAGTCCATGTTCTCCTGTTTCAACTGCTCCACCTCTTGATGTAATGTTGCATTCTAGGGATTATTGAGATTACACAGGATTAGTTTACGAATTGAATAGTGTTTTTTTTTTTTCGACTGAGGAATACTCACTTCCTTCTCCAAGTAGCGTGCCCGCATCGCAATCTGATTCTCCTTTTGGCGCCGGGCGTCGCGGGATCGCTTGGCGGCAATGTTGTTCTTCCGGCGGCGGGCCCAGTACTTGTCGTCCTTGAGCTCATCTGGAACGAATTGCTTGCGTGACTTTTTGATCATCGGCTGCGGCTTGAGCTCCTCGTCGGAGAAGGCTCGGGTCCGCGGATCAAAGTCACGGCCCGAGGAGGCGAACGAAAATGCTGGAATATCAAATACTAAATGTTAAACAATGTTTCACAGACTGTTTCGTGCTAAATTTAAATCATAAAAAATCAACCTCAAAGACGGGGAAAAACTCAAAGAACGAATGGGTGAAAACTCATTAGAAATTAAATCGAATCAAATCGAATTGAATTTGAATTGAAACTTGAAATTGAAATTTAAGGATTTGCACAAATTGGAATGGGAATCATTGAATCAAAAGGCCTTGCAACCTTTTTTCGTTCGTGTCTCTTTTAACATTTAGCATTTGATAAGACATTTGTGGGTAACTTAAATTAATTTATACAATTCCATTATAATTTAAGTTAGAAGCAATGTCCATTCCATTTGTGTTTTTTTTTACATATTTTAGTTTATAGAAATCAATAATACATACTAAAGATTTTAATGGCAATATCAATCGTGATTTTAGTTGTTTAAAACATTGTTTTGATTACAATTACGTTAAAAAGCAACTGATAATTAATATTGTTATCAAAGTATTATCATTTAAATTCTAGTACAATTTTGAAAAATTGATTTTATGAAATTAAATTATTCTATTTGATATTGAAATTATTACAAATTACTAAAATTGTATAGCTGGAACTGGATCTTTCTGTTAATAAGTTAAACATTTATATTACAACTTCTTATTATTTTAAAATTGTTTAAAATATACTTTAATATTTTCTCTTTCAAAAAATTATAATAATATTGCTTGAAACATTTATCATTTACAATTTGCTTTTCATTTATTATTGATTATTTAATCCATTTATTTATGAAATTTAATCATTAAGTATCGCAATTTTGTCTCATTGTTATTGAAGATTTTTGATTAGACATATAATTACTCTTTAATCTTTTATTTTCATTTGTACTTTGTATCAATTTTATATATCGATCATTCTTGTAAATTATAGCTTCAACTTGCTTAACAGTTTCGATAAATATTTAGTAATACTCGATAGATATTGCATTTTTGACATTTTCATCTTTACAATTTTGAATACGTTTTCTTTAATGATCTTTATGGCCATGTTATCGATAAATCGATACACTGCCTTATGCAATATACTCACTTGACTCGGCCGGCGATGGCGGATTTAGCGTGTCCGGACTGATGCAGTCGGACGGCGAGGGCGATCGCTCCCGCTTTGTGGTTATGTGGCCAAGGCCGAGCGACAGACCCGCTGCGTGGCCCAGGGAATCGGACCGGTGGCCCAGGCCACTCGAGTGGCCCAGATGCGTGCCGGGCAGGCCATCAGGTATGTTATTCTCCGAGAGGAACTCGTCTAGGTCGGCATACTACAAAAAATGTCAAAAAATGCAATGAAACACTGTGACATAAAATGGGAGGAGCACACATTTTCCTCGGGGTTAGTTACACGATATCTCTGAGCTCTGATGATGAGAATACAATTCTCGCACTAAGTAAAGCAATCGATAACATTCACGTTAACTTGTGTGTGTGTATGTTTTGTCATGACTGTACTGCGTTTCGAGTGTGTGATTGTGTATAGTTTAATGTGAAATTTTGAGCTTTTTTCATTTTTATTTTGTGTAATTTGGACCTTTGGAACATTGTATATAAAGATAGACAGACGCAGCCACTACGCAGCGATGATAGAAATGATACTAACTTGTGTTACCTTGAGGTCGGCATCATAGGGCAGGGTCTTGTCCCACAGATTTGGGCCCAGGAACGCTGTCTGCGCCTCGACATTCCAAATGTCGCCCTCCTCCTTGTATTTGTCATCGGGGCAGATGATTTCTTTGCTATTCGATGTGGATTTGCCTGTAAAGAAACCAGGGAAAAGGGTGCAATTAGTTACTGATTAGATTGTGGTCTATATATAAATGTATATGGTTAGTTAAGGGTTTCGATAAGATGGCTCAGGCTTTGTTATTTTGCTTTATAAAGTGGGTCAAGTGTGCTCTTCATTTCTCTCATATTATATAAACCATTTGAATTCTTTGGGAATCTATAAAACATAGAGCCTAGTAACAAATTTCCGCAAATTTCCGCATGCTAAAAAACGGGTTTACAGGCAAACAAAAACGCAACGAAACAAAGAAAGAAAACCAACAAACAAACAAATCACACATACACAATGCAAACATCAGCAAGAGGAAGCACGAAAAGCGAAAGTGAAATTTTTTACTACAGCTTTCAAACTGATTTTTATCGCTCCAAGCAAATACAAAAACAAATGTAAAAAAAGCCACAAAAAAAGTCCCAGCAAAAAACACTCAAAAAAGCAACAAGTGATGGGTAAAAGCTTTTCTTCTGTTGTTGTAGCCCTATTTGAGTTCCGTTGAGTGGATTTTTGTGGCTTAGACAACGCTGCGCATGCGCAGCTGAGCATGATCTTTCTCTCTTTCGCTTTTCGCTTCTTTCCTTTGATTTCTTTCACAAAACGAGTTTTGTGCTGGCCACAGACAGTAACAGAAACCAGTTGCCGTCTTTGGTTTCTTTGGCTCGCAGTAGTTTCCGCTTTCTTATTCACTCTCACTTTCATTTGCGAATGTTTTTTTCTTGTTGTTTTCTTCCTTTTTTTTCTGGGACTTTTTTTTACAGTTTACAGTTGTGTGCTGCTACTGCCGCTTTTTTTTTGCATTACCAACTATTGCGAAATTTTATGCCATTTTGCGGCCTGCCTCTTGCTTTCCTCCTCGACTTTGGCTTCGGCTTCTTTGCACACATTTCTGGTCTGTGCAATGAAGTAATATCTTTTCTTTTTCGATGTGCTCACCAAAGCGTAAGTGAAATGTCTTGGGTGTGAAGTAATATCTGGTCTCTTTGGTGGAAATTGGGACTTTTGCAAATCTGCAAATGCAGTGGCTCTTGTCCAAGCGATCGGCCCACGCTGCGTATGGGTAATGTGCGAATATTTGATGAGCTCTGCGGCTGTCTTTCGGTTTTGTTAATTAGACACTTGTGTTGCCTTTTAGGAGGATTTATGTCTGGGAAATTTAGGAAAAACAGGCTTTGAACTTTGTCACTGTGGCGGTTTTTTTTGTGACTGCTTTTTTTGTACATAAATGAAAGCATTTTAGGCCTTTAGGAGGAGAAATGATGAAAGTTTGATAACAAAAACAAATGAGACAATATTCCAATCCTTAGGGAAATGTTTAATAATATATTAAATATATATATATTAAGGTAATTTCTCCTAATATTTTTAATAGGACAAGAGAAATGTTTTATAATATTATAAATATATATATATTACGGTAATTTCTCTTAAGATCACCTAAATCTGAAAATGGAAAGTTTTTAGCTACATTTAAATATTTTGTAGGTATTCAAAATAAAATATTAAAATGCTCTTAAACTTTATTACCCATCTTAAAAGCAAAAATTATAATCTGAAACCTGAATATATATTTATAAATATATCAAGTTGGGTTAAAACTAGTTTATCTAATCTACAATTAGGGTAATGTTCACACCAAAAAATTATGCAAATCAAAATGCAGACCACTCAAAATATCAATGATCCAGCAAATAAAAGCAACAATGTTTGCCTTAAATCATGCAAAACAAAAGCCAATAAAATATTCTTTTAAAAGCCGATAAAATATTGATTACGCACAAAACTCACACAAAAACTTTCGCATGGTAATTAAATAAAAAGCACACAAAAATCACAAAAAGAAAGAGCACAAAAGTCAAAGAAGAACAACAACATAAAACATATAATAATAAAAAGAGAACAAACTAATAATACAATAATAAAAAGGAAAAAAAAAAAACAAAAATAACCAAATTACCGTTTGCTTTGCAAATGAAACCCAAAAATGGAGATTTCCTGCCTGTAAAACAAAAGAAACGGAAAAGAAAGATAGTAGAGAGAAGAAATACAATATTGATTCTTTCACAAAAAACGAAAGAAAACATTTAAAAAAGGTACAAAAAACACATACACAGATACAGATATAAACAAATACAGGAAGTAAGGCAAAAGATATATGTATATAGCGAAAACGGATATGCATGCAAGCAAAACAGATTAAAGGCGAGGATATAGAGCTGGGATATCTGATCAGATCGGCAAAAGGATGCAAATGAGATACTTTTACTTTTATTTTATTGCCTTCGATCTGAATTTATTTTGTGTATGTTTTCAGTTCACTTTCACTGTCATCGACATTGTTGATTTGTGTGCTTAACAGCAGGAATCTTGTCCATTGGTTTATTTTTAGAAGCGAACCCCAAAAACAGGAATTCGACTTAATCTTCTCTTCAGTTTCGGTTTCGGTTTCGGTTTCTCTTGCCATTTTAAGTAGGTCAAGACATTTTTTTATTTCTTTCTGTGTCATCTTTGGTAGCCCTCGCACCTTTTTTGGGTTTTATTTTATTTTTTTAATTTACCTTTTTGGCTGTTTTTTCCCCCTCTTTTGTCTGTGGACCAACGAAATTTCTCATTTTTGGTAATTTAAATAATTTGCATAATTTTCGTGCGTTTTTAAGTCTGTATTTCACTTTCATTAGAAAGGGAGAGAGACACACCATTAGATAGAGATGGAGATAATGGAGAGTTCTCTCTTTTTTTTTGTTTGGGCCTACGACAACACATATATTGTTTCTCCAGGGAAAAGCTCTCACACAGCTGCAAGTTCTCTCTTTTTTTATGGACCTAATAATATTATTATTATGCTTATTACTGGCATATTATTATTTTCTGTAAATTGTTAAATTTTGTGGTCTTTGTTGTGTTAATGGTTGGCCACAGTTTTTAGTGGACCATGGTCCGTAGGTTTTTTTGGATATATATATAGTTTTTTTTTTTTTGAATTAAACTTTCACTTTTTATTTCGGGTTTTTAGTATGAAACAGCGTGAATTTTAAGTTGTTGGTTTTAGTGACTGTGATTTTAATGTATAACTGAAGAGGAAATTGAGGAAGCGATTAAAAAGTGGTAGGAAGTACGCAGTGTGATTGAAATAAGATTTTATGCTTGATTGAAAGTGAGTTTAAGCTTTTTTAAATTTTGTTTTTAACATTTTACTGCATTTACTAAATCTACTTTTATATCTAAATCATGATAAAGGAAAGTTTAAAACCCGCTGCTTATCATTAAATCAATATTGTTTATTCATTACTTTCTGGTTTATTTGCTGCACTTTTCATTGCTCTTGAAGATATCCCATCCTGTAAACCAATTAAATGTTTAATTCCATTCCACATCCGTCTCAAAAAACCCTTCCCCTTTTCCCTGGACAAGCGAAATGAAAGTGAGAGTGCCTGCACCATAAAACGGGTCTCGAGGCCCCCCAAAAAATAAAAACTATCCCCAAACAAAACAAAAAAAACCTGTTTAAAAAATACTCAAACCAAAAAGCTATTCAGCTTTTGCGGGAAGAACAAATTGGAGATGCTGCTGACGACATTGACGCATATTTATGTAAATTAATTCCACGCGAAAGTTTACTTTGCTTTGCCCATTTAACACTCCTAGATTATCATAATAGTATTAATAAAGATCCATAAATGGATAATCAATGATGCCTATAAAAATAATATTGGTTTAACAATAATAATAATAAAAACAATAAATGAAAATAACGTTGGGAAGTCGAAGCTTAAAGACCCTTGCAGATTGTCATTAAATTATAGGATCTATATTGGAAATCGATCAAAACTAAGCTTATTAGGTTAATAAATCTGCATATCAAACTTAACTTTATAAAAAATTTAAAATTTGATAAATTTTTGAACACTTTAACGATGTAACCCCTTATCTTTTTTGAAACTTTGCAAAAAATATAGAAAATTTATTTTTTGACTAGGCATAGCTTTTTTGATGCTGATCAAGAATGTATATGATTTATAGAGTCGAAAATGATTCCTTCAAAGCGTTACAAACTTCGGACTAAAATTATAATACCCTGTAAAGGGTATAAAAAGTAGAAAGAAGTCGTCGCAAAATTATGCAACTTTTTGCATTTCAGTTTGCCGGCAGACACGTACAACAGCAACAACTACAACAATCACAGTGGTAACAGTAACAACAACACTTTGATTGCGCTGTCCGCCCCTTTCACCTGTCTCTCTGCCTCTCTCTCTCTCTCTCTGTCTCTCTGTGCCCCACCATTCTCGCACTCTTTTCACTTCCACTCTCGCTCTTTCACTCATTCAGGTAATTCTCTGCGCATGCGTCGCTGCCGACGTCGATGGCGCAACTGTGACGGGTTTCCATACTCTTTAGAGAGCATAATCACTATGGTAAGTAGTTATAAAAAATATTTAAATTTGAATATGATTTATATTTATTTTCAAGAAATTTACTAAAAATTGTTTAAAAATTAAACTCAGATCGAATGATTTAATAATGCTTTACGATTCATTTTTGAATATTTAATTACCTCAACAACAAATATATTTATTAAGAAATTCATAGCTAAATATATATATACATATATAATAATATTTTTCCAAAGGATTTTCATAGTATTTATAAGGTTTAACAGAAATATTACTTCGTAAAATTTACTTTTATGTCAAAATAAAGTAAATTATTTTAGCAACTTGCATACAAGATATGATTTATTTCTTAATGAGGATTTTCTTTGCTTTGTAATTATTTTTACAATAAGAGGGTATTCGAGAGTCGCCTATCTAAAGTCAGTTTCCTGTCTCGTTGTTTGGTGTTACAGTTGATGTTACTGCCTTTTCTGTTCGCTGTTGTTACTGCGCATGAGTGCCTCGTTGTATTACATCGCTGTATAAACTATATGTTCATCGCACTCTTTTTTTATGGTTTGTTGTCATTATTGTTGTTTCTTTTCTCTGTTGTTATTGTGGTTGTTGTTGTTGCTGTTGGTGAAGTGCAGAAAGTGTAACACTTTCGATTGTTGCGCTGTCTCTGTGTGTTTGCGTGTTGTTGCCTTTGAGGTTTTTTGTGTGCACTGCATTCATTCCGTATTTGCGCTCATTTGCATTGCTTTTTTTTCTTGTACCTTTTTTTACGTTTTAAGTATTTATGTGTGTGTTTGTTTTATGCCTTCTACCGCTCTTTTTTTTAGTGAAATTAATTATGTGTGGGAAAATGTGATGGAGTTTTGATTTCCGGGTTGTTAGCACGGATATTTTGTGGCTAGGCTTAGGCTTTTCATGAAAAGTACAGGCTTTTTTGGAGATAAAAATTAAGAAACTTGTAAGGGAGGATTAAAATTATTATTTTTCAGTTTTAGAATAGTTTTAAATAAAAAAAAGTGTAGTACTTTTTGTAATTAGTATACTTTTTGTCAAATTAAATTGAAATTCAAGGATTTAAATTCAAATTCTTAATCATGGTTAATAATTTCACTTTTAAATTTAAATTGTTATTATAATATTTAATACAATATATTTATTTTTTTATACCAAAAAAAGTTTTGTTGAAGTTCCAGGCAATATAAAAAAATAATAGATTTCCCTTTAATAATTTTCAATAAATAGCCATAACAAAATATACTATCAAAAAGGGGCATTAAGCCATGAAAAATCACGAAAGGCTTTCCTCAATTTCACAATCTGTCTGTCCAGCTGTGCAATTTAATTCTCTGCCATCTCATTCACTCTGAATTTTCAGACTCAGACTTAGACAGACAGAGACGATAGCGGTTAAAAAACGCGATTTCCCTAACGGCAGACCGCTTTCTTTGTGATTACGAAATTAATAGAAAAATTATGAAAGACAGACAGAAAGAGTGAGCGAAATATTTTGCAATAGTTTAATTGCCCGTCTCGTTGTGGGGGAAAGTGAAAATCCTCAAGACAGCGACACAATTTGCCACTATACTATAACATGATTGCAGTTTTTCCTCCACTCAACCCATTAGCCCAATTTCAGTTCGGCTTATAGAAAGAAAGCCGCAAACGTTAGCTGGCGACGGTTAATTAGCAGAAATAAGGAAGCGAAACCGATAATCATACGTATCGTGCTGTTGGCTCTATCAAATTATAGACTCATGCCATAAAAAAAACTGAAACACGAACGAACAACCAGAGACATCGAAACCCAAATAAAATTGCCTCGAATATGCAGAGCACGGTGTAAAAAAAAAAAAAAGAGGACTGGGCGGGACTGGGCTAAAACGTAATCAAAACACACAGTAAATTCAATCAAAAGTGCTTCTGGTCTTTAGTTTTCTTGCTCGCCTCGCACGACGACGTGTGAACAGATTGCTCATACGCCTCGTGGTACGCCAGAGCTAAATGGCCAAAAGACAAAGCTCTCTTTCGGCCACTTTCACTGATTCAAGTTTCTCACCTGCAGCGTCGCAGCAATTCGCACGTTTTACCGTTTGTACCGCCGTACCGCCGCTCGATTGCGCAACATGCGCCGCCGTCTTAGCCACCGCGTTGACTGACTGTGGGCCATACAACAATTGTATATACCGTAAATTGGCAACAATCTTGCGTTTTGGCCAAGACGAGTAGCCGAAGCGTTTTTTGATTGAAATAACTGTAATACGTTGCATTTTGGCAGGCCGCCTATCTGGGTGAGTGTGTGACGGACGACGCCTCGGGGGTTTTCTAGTCCCCATTTGAAGTCAACTTCCCCCCGCTTTTAGTTTTTTGCCTTTTGGCATGTCTCACCGCACATTTAGCCACATTAATGTGCAGAAAAGCTACCTCACCCCGCGAGATAATCCAAACAAAAGGAAGTCATGAAGCGTCAGATTAAGGCGCACGAAATGGAAATTCGAGGTGACTTTTGAGGTGTCATTGGCAGTGTTCCTCTGATAGAAAATAGCTGAAGTAAAAGGCTGCTGCTGGAGAAGATGTGACTGAATGGTATTAAGAATTATAGGAAAACGTGATGGAA